AAAAAAAAAAAAAAAAGAGAAAAATAGGAGAATTTAACATAGATCAGTAATCATTCCTGGTGGCAATGTAGACATAATGATACACAATGACTATTTGTGTCTTGAGAATGAAATGTCCACTGATGTAATTATTAGTGGACATTTTATTCTCAGGACACAAAAGCAAAAGGATTGCTTGAGCCCAAGATTTGAGGTTGGAGTGATTTTAGGGTTTAGGGTTTGCTTTACTTCCATCCTTTCTAATGTAATTTAATTTTTTGAGTATGTATAACATTTTAAAGAGTCAAAGTTAAAAGATATATGCAGAGACCTGCATTTCCGTTTTTCTCTCCTACCACATTCTTATCCCACCAACCTTTAATTTCTGATTTATCCATTATGTTTTTTAGATGATGTGTGCACACGTTTTGTTTTCTAGTCTGTCTTACATAAAATGTAGCATGCTAATTGTACATGATATTAATCCTGGTATTGATGAGTTGAAAGTTAACAGTTCTCAAGCTGTTGCCCTGGGTAGAGTACTATGGCATCACAGCTCACAGCAACTTCAAACTTTTGGGCTTAAGTGATTTTCTTGCCTCAGCCTCCCAAGTAGCTGGGACTGCAGGTGCCCACCACAATGCCTGCCAGTTTTTTGGTTGCAGTTGTCATTGTTGTTTGGCGGGCCTGGGCTGGATTTGAGCCTGCCAGCTTTGGTGTATGTGGCTGGCACCTTAGCTGATTGAGCCACAGGTGCCGAGCCAGCTCTACTTATTCTTTTTAAAATTCTGAAATATTTATAACTAAAGCTTTTTGCTGGGGTATATTTTGGATTTTTGTTTGTTTTAAGATTTTAGAAATTTTATTCATAGTAGAAGAAAAGCTTTAAGTTAACAGGAAATTCAAACTCCTTCAAGTTTTTAAAGAGTTAATCAACAGTGGAACATAGTGATTGAATTGGTTGTTGAATGTTTATAGTTAATGCTTAACTAAACCTCTTCTATAACAACCCTTTTTTATGTGGAAGAAAGACACCATAGTACATAGAGGAGTATATATAAAAGACTTATTAAGTGAGTTTAAATTTGTTTCAGACTTCTGGGCCATTGGGAAGAAGCAGCCCATGATCTTGCCCTTGCCTGTAAACTGGATTATGACGATGATGTTTGTGCTATGCTGAAGGAAGTTCAACCTAGGGTATGTTAAAATAGAGAAAGTCATTACTGTAATACTTCATGGCTCTAGTACTGAGCTCTTGCAGCCATAGTTTACCTGAAAAACAGATGGAAAGATACAAACATTTGGAAGTTAAATCTGTGACTTAGAGATATTTAGAGAGCTCAAGACTTCATTAAGTTGTCATGCTTTCATTTCTCATGCTGTTATTAGAGCAAGCTCTATTACTTTGTTTGCAAGCATGTAGTGGAATTATAACCAGAAAATTAAAAATGGAAAGGGGTATCAGGTTTACAAAGAAAGAAATAAGAGTGTAATTATTATGACCCAGAATTGTTTTGGGTTTGTCCTTACATATTGTAAGTGTATGTAGCTATTATTATAAACCACGAGGGCCTTGTGGAAGTTGAGAAGTTTGGCCAGTCTCTTTAAAATGATAATACGGAATCAAAAAGCTAGAACATTGTACTTTAAGATAATTTTGTCTAAAATTAATTACAATAATTTTAGTGCAGTTACATGATACATCTTTCTGCTTTGTGGGAAGTTGCAGTGCCAAGAGTTTACTCCTAAAGGTTTTAAGAGAGAATAAATGTTCTTGAATTTAACTCATCCACTGCCAGAGACTAAATTTGATTTTGTTTTTTTCTTCTCAGAGCTAACTCAGAGTTGTAAACAAACTAAAGTTAACATTCGAATACAAGTCTCTTAAATTTATTTTGTGAATAAATAACAGAGTCAGGGCATTTGGTGCTATTTATTAGTGTCTGGTGTACATACATTTGAATGTATTTTCTCTCTTAATCCTTACAGCAATTTGGTAAGATGAAATTTTTTTTCCCCACCCACCCATTTTATAGTTTAAGAAACTTAAATGTAAAATTGTGGCGAATAGCTAGTATGCATTTTCTCAGTCTCTGCCTTCCCATGACAGATATCATTAGTGATGCTGTTTTGCTGAACTCAGCTGTAACTTCTGAATCCTTAACATTCTGTAGCTGGTAGAAAGTATCAGGCAGGAATTGTGCAGTTTGAAACCTGTTTGTTAACGTGTTTTGGTAATTGTTTAATGGTATAGCATTTCTCATCAATTTCAAATCCCAGGCTCTTTCCTTTATTTTACAGTATCTCATGCAGTTAAGATTGATCTTTTAAAGCCTAAGTGTCAGGTCTTTATAAGGTAAATTTAACTCATTTTTCAGAACTGTGTGTTGAATGAAACCTCTCTCCATGAAGAAAAGTTAACTCTTAACAAAACTGTGTTGAACTTAATTCAACTTGTAGAGCAGGCTTATTTTTCTGTGATTCTTTTTTTTGTTCCCCTAGGCCCAGAAAATTGCAGAACATCGGAGAAAGTATGAGAGAAAACGTGAAGAGCGGGAGATCAAAGAAAGAATAGAAAGGGTTAAGAAGGCTCGAGAAGAACATGAGAAAGCCCAAAGGGTAAAGTTTCTGTAGCTAACAGTGAAAGGAAAATATAGTATATTATAGGTTTTTTAGGATGCCATTCCGATTCCTCTGTCCTTTATTTAATGCTGGCTGAATTTCTGTAGGATAATGGATAATGGTACTATTAAAAGGAATTTTCTTTAGTTGTTATCTAATTTGTGGGGATTATTTGTAGTCTTTAAATTTTTTTTTCTTATGACACTCAGCCTCTTGAGTCTTTTTTTTTTTTTGTAGAGTTTCACTTTATCACCCACAGTAGAGTGCTGTGATGTCACATAGCTCATAGCAACCTCCACTCCTGGGTTTAGGAGATTCTCTTGCCTCAGCCTCCCGAGTAGCTGGGACTACAGACAGGCAACTGCCACAACGCCTAGCTATCTTTTTGTTGCAGTTTGGCTGGGCCTGGGTTTGAACCTGCCACCCTCAGTATATGGGGCTGGCGCCCTACTCACTGAGCCATAGGCGCTGCCCAGTCTTTAAATTTTTAAATGAGCTTTTATTTCACCAATTTACATTCTTGCTTGTGATCAGGAATAATTAAAACTTGGGAATGTTATTTGTTTTTCTGAGAATGCTTGCCTGGAATTAAATTTTTGATTCTTCTTGTTCCCACAGTGATTCATAACTATTTAAAATTGATTTGAGGGGCCAGGTGCAATGGCTCAAGCCTGTAATCCTAGCATTCTTTTTCTTTTTTTGAGACAGAACCTCAAGCTGTCCCCCGAGTAGAGTGCTATGGCATCACAGCTCACAGCAACCTCCAACTCCTGGACTTAAGCGAGTCTCCTGCCTCTGCCTCCCAAGTAGATGAGACCACAGGCGCCTGCCACAACGCCCGACTATTTTTTGGTTGCAGCTGTCATTGTTGTTTTGGCAGGCCGGGCTGGATTCGAACCTGCCACCTTAAGTGTATGTGGCTGGTGCCTTAGCCACTTGAGCCACAGGTGCCGAGCCAATCCTAGCATTCTGAGAGGCTGAGGCAGGTGGATTGCTTGAGCTCTTGCATTCAAAATCAGCCTGGGAAGAGCGAGACCCTGTCTCTAAAAATAGCCAGGCGAGCACTTGTAGTCCCAGCTATTTGGGAGGCTGAGGCTAAAGAATCACTTGATCCCAAGAATTAGCTCAGGCTTCCTCAAACTATGGCCCGTGGGCCACATGCGGCCCGCCTAGGACATTTACCTGGCCCGCCAGTGTTTCTGCTGCCACTGCCTGTCCTGCTTAGCAGCCGACTCATCCCGGGGCCCGCAGTCTGGCCCTCCAATGGTCTGAGGGACAGTGAACTGGCCCCCTGTTTGAAAAGTTTGAGGACCCCTGAGTTAGAGGTTGCTGTGAGCTAAAGATGGCATGGTACTTTACCGAGGGTGACAAAATGAGACTCTGTCTCACAAAAATACATAAATAAAATTGATTAAAATTGATTTGAGCAAGGCATGGTGGTGTGCACCTGTAGTTGGAACTGCTCAGGAGGCTCCCTTGAGCCTAGGAGTTTGAGTCTAATCTGGACAACATAGTTGGGACACTGCATTTTTTTTTAATTTTTTTTTTTATTTCAACTTTATTACTTTGAAGGTTTTTTTTTTTATTTTTTTTTTTTTTTAGTACTTCTTCCTCCTGTAGTGTTTTCTTGCTCCCCATGGAGCTGGGATCATAAGGTCTGGCTGTCTCCTTGTCCTGTTGTTGTAGAGACGGGGTCTCACTCTGGCTCATCTGGCTCAGGGGGGTCTTGGCTGGTCTCGAACCTCTGAGCACAGGTGATCCATCCGCCTCGGCCTTCCACAGTGCTGGGACAACAGGCGTGAGCCACCACGCCCGGCCTGCATTTTTTTTTAAGGCAAAATTGATTATGTTGCATTTTTAAAAATTTTAGTTACAAAGTCACATTATAAAAAATTTAGGAATAAAGAAAAATCCATCATTTCTCCACAATATTGCTACTATCATTAAGGTTCTCCTAATTTTTTCTGAATTGGTTCTATCATTTCTATCAAAAAGTTCTATCATACTTTTTTTTGAGACAGAGTCTCAACCTGTCGCCCTGGGTAGAGTGCTATAGTGTCACAGCTCACAGCAACCTCCAACTCCTGGGCTTAAGCAGTTCTCTTGCCTTAGCCTCTCAAGTAGCTGGGACTATAGGCGCCCACCACAACACCCAGCTAATTTTTGGTTGTAGTTACAGTTGTTTGGCAGGCCCAGGCTGGATTTGAACTCACTAGCTCCAGTGTGTGTGGTGGGCACCCTAGCTGCTTGAGGTACAGGCTCTGAGCCTCACCTACTTCTTTCTGACAGTGTTGAATGAAAGGACATCAAGCAGTGTTATAATTACTTAACGTATGACATCCTAATTTTTTCCATTTAGTATTAAGCATGCTTGATTTTCAGAGTTAAAGTTCATGATTTTTTTTTATTATTTATTTATTTGTTTGAGACAGAGTCTTACCTTGTTGCACTCAGTAGAATGCTGGGGCATCACAGCTCACAGCAACCTCCAACTCTTAGACTTACGTGATTCTCTTGCCTCAGCCTCCCAAGTAGCTGGGACTACAGGTGCCCACCACAACGCCTGGCTTTTTTTTGTTGTTGTTGCGGTTGTCATTGTTATTTTAGCTGGTCGGGGTTGGTTGGGTTTGAACCTGCCACTCTTGGTATATGGGGCCGGCGCCCTACCCACTGAGCCACGGGCAACCTCCCTAAAGTTTATAATCTTTAAAAGTAATTTTTGTACTTTATTTCCTAGTGGCTTCTAGTTTTATCACTTTATAAAGGAAAATTATGTATCTTTTCTTTCATTTTGTGTCTACGAAAACAGCAAAATGCAAAAACAAATCAGTTAATTTATTTCCCTTATTGCGTTACCTAAGGAGAGTATAGAAAAGATATAGTTGGAAAACACAAGTGATGGCAGTCTTAACTAACAATCTAGCCATGTCTTTTCATTTTTGAGTTTTAAAAACAGTAAGAAGGCCAGGCGCAGTGGCTCATGCCTGTAATCCCAGCACTTGAGAGGCTCAGGCAGGTGGATTGCCTGAGCTCACAAGTTTGAGACCTGCCTGAGCCGGAGTGAGACCTCTGTCTCTAAAAATAGCCGAGCACTGTGGCAGGCGCCTGTAGTCCCAGCTACTTGGGAGAGTGAGGCAAGAGAATTGCTTGATCCCAAGATTTAAGGTTGCTGTGAGGTAAGATGCCATACCACTCTACTGAGGGTGACAAAGTGAGACTCTGTCTCAAAAGAAAAAACCAGTTAAGAATTTATAATTTTCATATCAATACTTCTTGAAATTGTTATTAAGAAGGATGTTCGGCTCGGCGCCTATAGCTCAACCGGCTAAGGCGCCAGCCACGTACACCTAAGGTGGCGAGTTCGAATCCCCAGCCCGGACCCGCCAAACAACAATGACGGCTGCAACCAAAAAATAGCCGGGCGTTGTGGCGGGCGC